CATCGTCGTGGATGATTTTAATGCACGGGTAGACAAGGACTTTGAGACCTTGAATGTGCACGGAAAGCGTAAGGTTGGAAAGCGTAAAGATTTTCTACTGCTTCAGATTTATGTAGAGATTAATCTGTTCAGTGTTATACTATGATTCGGCAAAAGTATAAATTTAAAACTATTTGGATGTAGCCTGGATCGAAACAATGGTATTTAATTGACTATGTTCTTGTCAGAATGTGGGACGTACAGGATCTTTGACAGGTCCGAGTTATTTGTGAAGCAGATTGCTGGACAGACCATCGTCTAGTACGCGTCAAGGTAATCTAATAAAAACCAGGTTCAGAGCGAAAGGTGAGATTCTTCCTAAACGTCTGAATGTTGGTCATATTAAGCAGAAGAATATACAGGAAGAACTAACAGGTAGATTGGAAAGCATTCAAAGTATAAATACCTGGGATGATTTCCAGCATAAAGTGATCAGCGTTTTGTGCAGAGGTCCAGGGTTATGTCGAAAAGAAACACAAGGATTCGTCTGATGAAAATGATGAATAGATTAGAGCGCTCATTAAGGAAAAGAATAGAGCTTTAACATCAGTTTTATCTCGGAAAGATTCTCCTCATGACATAACAGACTTTTAAAAAGGCTTACAATTAAAACTCGGATCATTGCAGGATAACTGTTGGAGTACCAAGGCTGATGCAGGTGTTACATCCCTGAGTACCAGGCATGCAACACCACATTCATATCTATCTATCTACCTATATATATATATATATATATATATATATATATATATATATATATATATATATATATATATATATATACATATATATATATATAATCCTAAAAAGCCAGGAACTACCTACTTATGTTTCACCTAAATGGATCTTCAGGGTAAGCAGGCTTGGTTTATGCTGAAGATCCATTTAAGTGAAACCTAGAAAAGTAATACTTGGCTCTTTGGGATTATTTTAGTCCTTTGCTCTACTTATTAATCACTTTACGTTTTATCTTAGTTACTCGTTTGTTTTTTGTTTTTTTCCTTTGAACTGAAAATTTAAGGTACTAGACGATTTTTTCGCCCTGCTAGTTCGTTACTAATTCTTTCTTTTTTTCAATTTTTTTCCTCGAATACAAATTTGTTTTGATGTACTTGCAAATTGTGCTATCCGAGTTATTTTTACCAACCGATAATTATTAGTATAATATATATATATATATATATATATATATATATATATATATATATATATATATATATAAATATTATTCGGACTATTGTCCTCATCTTTGTCGCCATACTTATCACAACAGGCCGTTGTACGCTCCGGCCTTGTTCAGGTGGTTGTAAAGGGTTCAGTTCGACATTCCAATCACCTGAAGAAGGCCGGAGCATAAACAAACGTTGTGGTAAGTATGGCGACAAAGATGAGGACAATAGTCCGAATAATGTAAATAATGTACATAATAACTTATCTCAGAAATATAGACACACACACACACACACACACACACACACACACACACACATATATATATGTTGTTGAGTTTTTTTTTTATTATTTAATATTGTTTTAATATGTCTTGTAATATTAAATTTTACACTTTTATTTCGATCATTAAATTTTGTACCTACAAAAATATCTTTAAATATATATTTATATAATATATATATATATATATATATATATATATATATATATATATATATATATTTATATGGAAAATAAAGCATAATATTTTTTCTAAAAAACACATACAAACAAAACGTTTGCAGCACTTCTCTTCTCTTCTTTTTAATATACATATTTTTTTCTCGTTGGAACCACTACAACTTATATTTATTTTATATATATATATATATATATATATATATATATATATATATATATATGCATGCATGCAGCTTTCTTTCAAAAATCTTTCAATAAATACGGCCGACAAGGAAGATCTAATTAATTTTTTTTTATGTTTTTACAGCATCCTTACGTTTTTTACGTTTTACTGTTTTGAAGGAGTAAGGGACTATAAGTTTTCCAGAATTTTCATTGTCCTAAAGCATTTCCGGCCACTCGTATAGCCATTTTCCTCGGTGTTTTTCTCTCTGCTGTTGTTATTTTTTTTTCCTCATGCTTCAACTCTTACGTTTGTAATTTATTTTTGTGTTGTTTAGAATAGGAGCGTTTATTCCGAGTCTTCATCTGTTGCACGCGGCTAGAATTTGCGAGAGCATCATTCTATTAAAAAGAAATTTGACACTCCATTACCACTGTTAAATAATATATATATATATATATATATATATATATATATATATATATATATATATATATATATATATATATAATATATATCATTACTTCAAAATGTTAGTGTACATCAGTGTTTGAATAGATGCTGATTTTTGTTTGTTTGTTTTTTTTTTTTAATAGTGCGTATTACGTATTTTTACACTTGCGAAGACATTGCAAATAAAATGTGCTGGCTTCGGACAAATGAGGGTTTGTTGTTCTTGATGCATAACGCGCGCCGAATAAGAAGGACGGCTTTTCTTAGGAACGAGCTGGAATGTTCGAACTCTGCCAAAGAGCTGATATTTTTTTTATTAAGTTTTCTCAAGTGTGCATGCCGGAGAACATAATACACAGTTTTAAAAAATATGGTGTCTATTCAAACACGGATACCAACTAAAAATACCGTTTGAAGTTTAAAAAAAAAAAAAAATGTCGGATTAAAATAAATCCTTTAATTCTTTAAAAATCTCCTGACGAGTGAACCGATCAATTACACGAACGTTTGAGTACCAAACTCTGGATTAGAGGCACTGAACAAAACATAAATCAGATAAGTGACAAATTTTATATTTGTATTAACACCCCATCTCCCTCTCCCTCTCCTCTCTCTCTCTCTCTCTCTCTCTGTATATATATATATATATATATATATATATATATCGTCGTTAATAAATAGCCACTTTTGAGAAAAGTGCATTATAAAGATTTGTGTTAAAATTTTATACTTTCTCGTAATACAAATCTAATCAAATTTATCGTTACATTAACTCGAGCTGCAACAGAATTTTAATGAGTTACAAATGAAAGATATTAAAGTTTCAGCAAATTCGGTTACATAAGCTGTGGACATACAACTATTCCAGTAGATAAGAAAAAAAATGTTAAGCTGTACGATTTTTCAAATATATCCGTGAATTCTTTCACGGGAATTAACGGGTATAAATATATATTTTTGCAACCATAAAAAAACAAAAAAATATCCTGACTACCATTTACTGGGCACAGAGTGCTGGAAAAAAACAACGGCTTCAATAAAGTGTTGACTCAATTGAATTAATAAACATGTGTAGATTGATGATAATTACAGTGGGAAAGAAAGAATTAAAAAAAAAAACTAACTAATAATTTAATAAAGAAAACTTCGCATATTATTATTTTATAACAGCGTTCAATAAGTTATTTTATCCGATCTAATCGCAATTAACATTAGATAAAGTAATAACAATAGCTTAATTATCGCAATCTGATTATTCAATGATGCTTGTGGTGTACTTCTCAAAATATTGCGATGAGATTGTGATGGGCCCAGATAAAAAAAAATATATATATATAAAAGAATTCATACTAAAATATTGCTGTAGCATACCTACCGACGATAATGGGTATGTCTCCATTCCCATAGTAATTTTCAAAGCGTAGCTTGGTTGTGACACAAGGCCGAAACTAAGGTGCACCCAGTGAGGATCGAACTCATTACTCAATCGTCATTGTTTTAGAGAAACAAGCTCGCTAACCAATACACCACCTTGAGGTACCCAAATGGTTTTCTAAGCACAGCTTAGATGTGGCACAAGGCCGAAAGCAGGAGACAGTGAGGATTGAACTCACTACTCAATTGTAACACTTCTAGCGAGAATAGCTTCCTAATCATGACACCACGTCGAAGTGCCCCCCCCCATTCACATAAATATTGTAGTAAATACTGTGTGATCTGAATTTGGAGATTCGTCTCCAGCTGTGCTGGTCAAACTCTCTGCCTCCGCCCAGAGAGAATCCCCAGACGAGGCTATGTCGAAGGGCAGAGTCTCGTCTCGGGAAACGGCTACACGACCCCGTTTTATATGGGGTCTACGGGGAATTTTTAGCCGATCCTACGTGTTCGGTTACCCACATTAAATTCGCCCTTGTGCCACATCTGACCGCGTGGGGCGGTTGGTAGATATCCTGCAGTTGAAGATTCATTGTGGAATTCTCTTGGCTCATTTCTATCAGTTGATTACTATTTCTACGCGCCGCTGGCGAATCTTATATGTGTTGTCCTAAGTATTATCGTTCATTACCTACCTTCGTGTGATTATTCCATCCAGTAACCTTCCCTAGGTTACAACAAATATTTAAATAATAATAATGCTTTTGCCTATCAAAACAAAAAATCAAAGAGACTTAATGTTAGCCGATACAGAGCTTCGTACCAGTAATCTGGAGCCTTTTATGGCATATAAACAGACAGACAGCAGAGAGAGATAAACCAGCCAAGCATTTCGCGTGAAGAAACTAAGCGGTCATTTGCTTAAGACATTTTCCCGCCCTTCTGAGGACCGAGAAATACGCCGCACCTATTTCGAAAGTAGTCACACTTCCGACAGCAGCCAAGAAAATGGCGGTTACCGACTTGTAAACCCAAATACCCAGCCGAACGAACTTCCGGTACCCCAAATTACAAAGGACTCGCTCCAATCGCAGTAAATAAAAACACATTATTTTTTTTTTTTTATACCTTTGATTCTGTTCGTTAATTTCCAAAGTTTCCGACAAGTATTGTTAATAACCTCTGACCCTTCTCCACAATATCGCATCACTATTTTAGACAGTCTGATTCCATTTAATTAACTTTTAATTCCAGTCGTTGTCGTTCTCCATTTTGATACCTATTCGAAATAGAAAGAACGCTGTATTTTTAACAGTAGCTGCATTTAATCACAAAAGTCAACACCGGCCATGTCCCGCACGATCACAGAAGTTAAGCAACGTCAAGCCTGGTCAGTACCTATATCGGTGACTGCTTGGGAATATCAGGTGTTGTAAGTTTGGATTTGCGGTTGGTGTAAAGGAATTGTTAATCGGAGAGCCGAGTTCTAATTCCAGTTGTGGTTATTATATTCATTTACGCGCTAAGACACTTGGGGAAGGTAGGAATTCACTTCTTCTCTCCCCTCTATGGGTTAATTAGTAAGACCTGCGTCACTAAATCATTATTATCTCAAAAACAAATTCGTATAATCTGAAGATATTTTTGGCTTTAAATAACCTGCAGTAGGTTGATAACCCGTACAAAACGAATCAATTAATCAAAAAGCGTACTACTAGATTGACAACTAGATCTTATCGTTCTAATGTTGAATTAGCTAGATGTAACCGTAAGTTTTAATCTAATAATTTCTTTTCTTGCATTTCTCACCCGTGGAACTCTGTTCCAGCTTCTTGCTTGCAGTTAAATGATTTTAAAAAAAATTTAATTAAGTTTTTTTTTCTCTTTCCTGGGTGGAAATATGCAACTATCTGAACCACTCTGCAAGCCTTTTTATATAAATATAAATATATATATACAGTGCTAATATAGTTCTAATATTATCTGGCAATAAAATCAAATCATAATTATAAAACTAAATGTCCTGACATCATTTATTTGAAGACCAACCTTCAGATATATCTCAAGAAGACACTGGTATTCAAATGAGGAAAAAAACAAACTTTGCCATCTATCAGCATGGTTGATGATAACCTCCAGGAGAACAATTCATTGTGCCTTCCTGGTCTCACGTTTTACGCTGACATGAAATGTAGTGATTATATTGAATCAATTGCTAGACATACTGCTAGGAAAGTTGGTTCTCTGTGTCATGCGAGATAATTTCTCTCGTCAGAATCCATCTTGCATATTTATAAATCTACTATTTGTCCGGGCATTGAAGATTGCAGCTATATTTGGTCTGGTGCTCCTGCTATATATCTCGAGATTTTCGACAAAATCCAAAAAAAGATGTGTAATGTTAATAGTCCTGACCTGGCATCTTGACTTCAGTCACTTTCAAACTGCCATGATCTTGCTTTCCTCTGTCTTTTCTATAAATATCTTTATGGCAGTTGTTCTAATGAGCTCTCCTCCTAGGTACCTTGTCTACATGACTAGATTGGTAACTAGATCTTATCGTTTTAATGTTGAATTAGGTAGATGCAACCGTAAGTTCTATGTTGATAGTTCCTTTTCTCGCACTTCACACCTCTATTAGTCTCGTCCTGTTTCTTGCTTCCCTATCACCTACGAGCTTCAAAAATTTAAAAGCGACGTCGATCGCCATCTTCTGTCTTCCTGAAACATGTTCTTTTAATGTCTTCTCTGCTCACTAGCGTTTTCTCATTTAACTTCACTCAGTAACCCCTGTTGCCTTCTTAGTGACATCATCGCCTTGATTGGGATGAAATGATCAAAAGAATAAATAGTAATTTTTTTTGTTGATGTTGTTGGGGGGAGGCGTATGTGCGTGTGTGAGGTGGGGGAGTCCCAATGTTTTCATTTTGCGATGACGCAGCGCATGGAACGTCATAAAACAAGCCATATTCTTCACAGGACAGAAGAATGTATCTGTCAGCTGTTCATTATATTCAAAATCCAACTTCTAAAAGAGACGCCCTTGTTTTATGCTTTTAGTCGTACACAAAATAAATATTCGTTAATAACACACGTATATCTGGTGTACCTACATCTGATTTCCCCCCACCCTACCCCAGAACTGAGTGAGATGCACATAAACCAACGATACTTACTCGGGGTGAAACTCTTTAAAAAATACTATAGAAGAATTATTAATAAAAAATAAAGAAAAAGTTTCAAACGCTTGAAGTTGTTAGCTTTAAGATCATCTTGACTAAAATGAAGATTTTCAATGTTGATTTTCAAGCCTGTCAGACCATTCCATCTTGGAGTGTTGATGCGATAAATTCTTTAAATCGTCCTCCTTCTAATTTAATATTTTCTTGTTCCTTACAAAATAAATTTTGGTGATTGTTAATGAAGGGAAGTGACATAAGAAAATACTCTCGAACGCTAAATGTTTGAAATGTTAATTGGGCCAGAGGATAGTGAACGCGTTTGGGAAGAGGATCCAATGATAAAACGAGGCTTGCCTATTAAAATAAACTATTCCTGAAAGAATGAGGAATTGTCTTCACTCAAAAAGTAAGGTTCTTTGCAGGAGATTGATTGAAAAATATTGGAACCTCAGGGAGAAGGGCTATAATACATAAATGGAACAAGTCCGATGCAAAAAGATGAAAAGTCTCTTTGTGCTCTATCAGGGGATAAATCAAATCAACTCACCTTTTCTTTCTTTCTTTATTACTTACTTACACTTTCTTTCTTTCTTACTTACGCTTTCTATCTTTCTTTCCTAATTTTAATTTTGTCTTTCCTTTTACTTCTTTCTAGCTCTTTCTTTCTTTCTTTCTTTCTTTATTTATTTATTTATTTCTTCTTCCTTATTTACGTTTTCTAATTTTCTTTCGTAATTTTTATTTTTGTCTTCCAATTAACTTTTTCATAGTTTTCTTTCTTTCTTTCTTTCTTTCTTTCTTTCTTTCTTTCTTAGTTACGTTCTCTATCTTTCTTCCTTAATTTTCGTTTTTGTCCTCCCTTTTAATTCTTTTTCTCTTTCTTTCTTTCTTTCTTCTTTTCTTTCTTAGTTACTTTATCTTTCCTTTCTACTTTTCATTTTTTTGTCTTTCCATTTACTTCTTTGCAATAGTCTGTCTGTCTTTCTTTCGTTCTTTCTTTCTTTCTCTCTTTCTTTTTTTCTTTCTTTCTTTCTTCCATTGTTAGGTTCTCTATCTTTCCTTTCTAATTTTCAATTTTTGTCTTTCATTTTGCTTCTTACTGTCTTTTTTTAGTTTCGTATCTATCTCCCCGTTCTTTCTTTCTTTCTTTCTTTCTTTCTTTCTTTCTGCTACGAAACCCGTTACATTTTTATCTCCTTTTCTCACTTTCTTCTGGCCGTAACTGTCATTTCGATGGTCCTTTATTTTCCCCCTCCTTTTTCTTCTTCTTTTAATTAGTATTATTCATCTGTGCTCTTTTATTCGTACAAATTCCACGTTTTAAATTTAGAGATAATATATTCAGTTTTTTCGTTCGGAGTTCGAATTCTGAGATGGCGAAGAATATTCCCTGCTATTTTTAACATTTAATACTTCTTAATTCGGACAACCAAAAGAAAACCCTAACATGAGAATTACAAACTGAAGATACAAAAATCAAGTAAGCACAAAAATTTAAATATCTAGGAAGTGTTTTGACAGAAGATGGAAAGTGCTGCACTGAAATTCGAAGGCGCATTGGGATTGCGAAAGATGCCTTCCAAAACCTATACAAAGTATTAAGAAACAGGAAAATCTCGTTAGAAACAAAGAAAAGAGTACTGAACTGTTATGTCGTATCGGCCCACGTATATTACCAAGAATGCTGGAAAATCTCTTCACAGCGGAAGTAGAAACTTGAGGCAACAGAAATGTGGTTCTACAGAAGGATGGTGAGAATAGCATGGACTGGATATGTGAGGAACGACGAAGATTTGACAAAATGGAAACAAAAAGTTCACATACTCAACGTCAGGAAGACACAGTTGAAATTTTAGGGCACATAATGAGGAAAGAGAGCTTAGAAAATGTGACACTCACAGGACACCCTGAAGGCAAGAGGAGCGGAGGAAAACAGCGCATCGCCTACCTAACGAGCTTGTGTATATAGTTGGCAGACCTGGGAATAGGAGAGACAGCAAAAAGACCAAAATTTACTAAGAGCTACAAAGGACAGGCAATTGTGGAGAACGGTGATCGTCTACGCCCTGAAGGGATACGGTACAAAGAAGAAGAAGAAGAAGAAGAAGAAGAAGAAGAAGAAGAAGAAGTTAATGGCCTCAGAATAATTTAGCTAAAATTTTATGAAAACTGCCTGCATGCATAATACGAGAGATGAGAATATGGCAGCTGAAACATTGAATGTGAAAGAAACTGACGTCTTCCTTTCTGAAATTTATGCCCAATTTAGGGCTACACTTCTTAGACTGATTTCTATAAGCGCAACTAAAATCGTAACAGTAAAAAAAAGAAATGAAAAAAAGATGAATGACAAAGAATGGACAAGACAAAGAAAAAGAAAAGAAAAAAGAACATGCGAAGAAAAAAAGTAGAAAGCGGAACTAAAAAGAAAGAATGAAAAAGGAAAAAAAGAAAGATAGTAAAAATAGGAAAGAAAGAGACCGAATCAAAGAATGAAAGAAAGAAAATGGGAAGAAAAAAGAACATGAAAGAAAGAAAGAAAGAAAGAAAGAAAGAAAAAGAAAGAAAGAAAGAAAGAAAAGGAAAAGAAAAGAAGAACCAAAAACTATGAAAGAAAGAAAATGAAAGGAAAAGGAGAACGCAAAACTAAGAAAGAAAGAAAGAAAGAAAAAAAAAGAAAGAAAGAAAGAAAGAAAAGGAAAAAAGGAGAACGCGAAACCAAGAAAGAAAAAAGAAAAGGAAAAGAAAACGAGAATACGAAACTAAGAAAGAAAGAAAATGAAAAGAAAAGGAGAAAGCGAAAATAAATGAGAAGGAAAATGGCAAGAAAAAGTAAAACTTGAAATTAAGAAAAAAAGAAAATGAAATGTAAAGGAGAACGCGAAACTAAGAAAGAAATGGGAAGAAAAAGTAGAAAACAAAACTAAGAAAAAATGAATTAAAAAAAAAAAAGAAAAATGTAAAAGTGGGAAAGATATAGACCGAATCTAACAAAGAAAGAAAGAAAGAAAGAAAGAAAGAAAGAAAGAAAGAAAGAAAAAAGGAAGAAAACGCGAATGTAAGAAAGAAAGAAAATGGGAAGAAAAAGTAGAACGCGAAACTATGAATGAATAATCAAAGAAAGGAATGAAAAAAGAAAGAAAAAAGTAAAAATGGGAAAGACGGAGACCGAATCTAAGATGTGAAACTAAGATAAAATGAAAATGAAAATAAAAATAAAAAGTAAAACGCGAAATTAAGAAAAAAAGGAAGAATGAAATAGAAAGAAAAAAGTAAAAATGGGAAAGTCCGAATCTAACAAAGAAAGAAAGAAAGACGGAAAGAAAACACAAATATGAGAATCTAAAAATTAAAAAGAAAAAAGAATGAATGGCTGAATGAAAGCAAGATGGAGTAAGTGAACGAAAACCAAAGACAAAAAGGATAAGAACTTTTGCTTTAAATAATGAAATAATCAAGGAAAAAGAAAGTTTATACTCTGCCTCTACCCGAGATTGATCGGTCGACCATCCAAGACTGTACGGAAAAGTCGGCTCTAGAAGGGGTGATATTGGGCGTGTACCCGGTACATTCTCAGAAGCCGGCTTCATGTCTCCAAACGGCCGATATCTACGGTCGGATCTGCATAACAACAATGTCGACCACGCTTCGAAACAAGCGCGGAATCAAAGAGGCCAACAAGCCACAGATGCCGCCATTATCTCGACTTGTGTGTATGCGTGCGCACACATTTGTGTATACACTTCGATATGAATGCTAGTGTGAGAGTTGGTGTGTCGACCATAGTACGTATGTATTTGTATGTAAGGGACGCTTATTGTGTTTATATGCGAACAACAATATGTCAGGATCAGCAGACATGTGTGCGCGGCATCATGTATATAAGTTTCCGTGCGTGTTCTCACATACACACAAATAGACACACACGCGTGCGCGCACACACACACACACATATATATATATAGTGATTTTCTAAGCGTAACTTAGATGTGGCACAAGGCCGAAAGTATGAGGCGCCCAGTGAGGATCGAACTCACTACTCGGTCGTAAATGTTCTAGCAAGACAAGCTTGCTAACCATTACACCGCCTCGATATATATATATGGGATAACGGTGTATATTTATTTGTATATCAAGAAGGATTCTGGTGGAAAAAACTTTTCGTGTGAAACTTGGTTTCCGTTTCGGATACGAAATCAACCAGATACGGGCTTTCGAGAAAAATAAAAGTGAAGGGGATGTACTTTTCCTTAAATAGGGTAAAAAAGAGCCTTGCTTACTGCGAAGTCCTTCGTGGCTGAGTGGTAAAGTACACCGGATCACACGCTAGTTTCCCAGACAAAGGGGGACGTAGATTTGATCCATATTCGAGAAAGATTTTCGAATCCGCAAGCCGATAGACGAAATACGCACTGTTTAACCAATAAAAATGGGGAGTCTATTTCAAATAAAAAGTGTCCACTATAATAACGTTTGGAGTAACACACGCATATACACACAAACACACACATGCACAGAGACACGCACACACACATATATATATATATATACACACGCACACAGGTGTGTGTGTGTGTGTTATATATATATACCAGCACATGACATAAATATGTCTGCTTGTTTGTGTATATATACATACACACAGATATTATATATACATACACGCAGATATTATATATATATATATATATATATATATATATATATGTATATATATATATATATATATATATATATATGTGTGTGTGTGTCTGTATGTTTAAGTATATATATATATATATATATATATATATATATGATAAAATATAAATTAAGATGTGCTATATTCAGGTGGCCTGACGATTGCATCTAGCATGAAACAGACTGTCGCCTCTGTTGACTTCTATGTTCACTTATATATATATATTGCTCTCTCTCTTCTCTCTCTCTCTCTCTCTCTATATATATATATATATATATATATATATATATGATAAAAAAGCATAGATATACGCACATATACTTGTACGTGTTATAAAACAATGCACAGTGTTAAATAACAGTTGCATATTATACAGGAGTTAGACGTTGCTTTGAAATCATTATTGTTTCGTCCGTGTATTTTCTGATATATTGAAATGTAATTGTCATCTTTGATCATGGCGGCTTATGTAAGCCGAAAGCTTAGGTTGGATTTAAAAGTGTATCAGTATGGTGATTTCCTTTCGTCTTTTAATGATAATGTTATTAAGCTTATCAGACAATATAAAAAGAACTTACTTAAAATAAATAGACAAAATTTGTCTATATCATTTAATGAAACATGCATCAATATATATATATATATATATATATATATATATATATATATATATATGCACGTATGTGAGTGTTTTTTCAAAAATAACAAAATAATTAAAGAACTCAATGCGTAAACAGAGCAGACTAAGTCCTTATTCAAAGACGATATTATGGTGATATACTGCATATAATTAGTGCATAAGCCTAGATCTATGTGACAAAAATCGATGTTAAAATGGAGAGTAGGTTTCTATTCCAGGTCAATATTTTGTCGATTTGTCAAAACTTCAACATCTATGTAAATAAAACCACCAAAATATCTGAGTTACTACTGACAATGAAACATTTATATTTATATTTTATTAGAATTTTGCAAAGATTTTAGTACTCATAGTACTAAGTATATATATATATATATATATATATATATATATATATATATATATATATATATATATATATATTTTTAAATCTATTATAAATTTGTAATCTTTTATAAATCTATTATAAATTTATAAAAGATTCTAAATTTATAATAGATTTAAAATATAATATATATATATATATATATATATATATATGTATATATATATATATATATATAAATTTATGCCGTCCTGGTTATGACGATAAAGTACGTCCGGCAGCAAGACCTCTGATCAAGAGATTGGTGGTTTGGATGAGCATGGAACTACCTCATAATTGTTGTTGTTTCTCAATCCACCCTGACCCGGGATGGTAGCACCTGTTAAGGTCCCAACTATGGGCAAATAGGGAACACCAAACAAGAATCGAAATTATAAAAATACATATTGATAAAAAAAATTCCCAGCAATACATTTTTAGAGTAGAATTATCAACAATACATTTTTATAACAAAACTACCAACAATATATTTTCATATCAAAATAACCAGGAATATATTTTAAATGAAAATGAACAACGATGCATTTTATAATAAAATTACCAACAATGCATTTATATAACAAAATGAAAATCAATAGATTTTATTGCAAAATTGAACACATGGTATACATTGTCATTTTTTTTCTTTTTTTTAAAATAAAAATAAAGCAATTTGCTAAGATAAGTCACATTTCTTTTAAGGAGAAACAAAAATAAATTAAATACTATCATATTTGTGCGGGAACTACCCAGACCGCACTCCCCAGCCTCGATAGAGTCCAAAAGCGTCTCCGTGTCCTTGTGGGTAACGAATTATTCCCCCCTCTCTCTCTCTCTCTCTCTCTCTCTCTCTCTCTCCCTCCCTCTCTCTCTCTCCCCCTCTCTCTCTCACTCTATCTCTCCCTCTCTCTCTCTGTGTCTCTCTGTCTCTCTCTCTCCCTCTCTCTCTCTCCCTCCCTCTCTCTCACTCTCTCTCTCAGACGGGATGTGGCAAGTTTCTGATTGATCTATCGCTACATTCCTTGGTTCCGCGAGTTCTAACCTTCACGGCTAGGACCCGCCATGCCACGCCCATTGTAGCAAACCACCCACATTCCCTTCGTATTTCATCAGTGCGAAATACATTCCACACGAACAGCTTCTTCCCGCGATCCACTGCCCTGTGAAACGGACTCCTGGGAGGATGTTTCCCCGATCACTATAATCTTAACCTGTTTATGTCTACGGTTAACCGTTATCTTCTTCTCCTATCCGTATAAACTGCCTCCTAACTTAACCCTCTACATCGGGTGTAAGGGGGCATGGTACAGGGTGAACCTTACTTCTTGTTTGATTTTGTAAGATTATTTGGTAAAAAAAAAAAAATTGTACCAAGTAATTATAATTTAACCATGAACTAATGTGGTTCTCTTGAATCAATTGTAAAGTTGGAATTTTCATACTTCAATTTCGGTATTAAATTACCCATAGAGGTGTTGATATACCGCTAAACAAAAACAACCAAAAAAACAAAATATCTGCAGTTGAAGATATATAACTACTTTAAAAATAAATTTAGTATAAAACTGTATAAAAATATTTAGATTTAGGCATTAAATAATCGATATAGTTTGATATGCCGCTAAACATATATCCCATATATTAGAAATTCTATTATCACAGTGTGGGATATCTAATGACAAAAGGGATAGAAACAAAAAGAAAAAGAAAATAAATAAAATCGGCTAGAAAAAAACAATTTCAATTCCCAGCATCCCTTGTTCGTGCGCATGCGTAGTCGCGCGCAACATAAATTTATTCCGATGAAGTCCTAAATGATGAAACGTCTCACAAGAAAACTTTTCCACTTTGTCATACATTCTCCACCATATATATATATATATATATATATATATATAATTATTTATTCGAAAATTTTGACATAAATATGTTATAAAATCACTACAAAAATAGCCATTTTGTTTCAACACTTCTGGTGTCTTATCAAGTGTTGAATGTAAAACAAACGGTTTTCAAAGGTTCAAATCGATCAAACATCCCTCGCTAGGGGAAACTCTGTTACATGAGGTGGAATGACCAATCAAAATACAAGTATATGAGAATTTAAAAAACTGAACAACGAACTTTGGTTATAATAATTATTTAATACTTTAATGTTAGGGTTAGACTAAAATAGAATTCATTCTAAATAATTAATATTAAATCATACTATAAAATTCAAAATAAAATTACCAAGTTTAAATTTTAAATTTAATCTATATTAAGTTTAAAAAATTATAAAATTATTTAAAGAAAGAAATTATTAAATTATTTAATTATTTATTTATTTTGAATATGAAGATACGTTTTGTTTGTAAAGAAATATTATAAAGAAATACTGTTCCAAATAAAAGGATTGTCTACTCAAATACGGTCTGCGACTAAAAAAAAAATACCATTTGAAGACATAAAAAAATTAAAGTGTTTTCGAACCACTGAGTAAGTATCGTGGTCTTGGCTAATTGTCTGTTTCTTTTGACTGTTAATATCAGTACATTCATGTATTGTAAAATTTGTGATACTTTGTTGTCTAATTATCTCCACGAATTATATCTCTGTTCCATACTGTCTCTCTTCACCTCCATACCTACATACAAAGCCGTCATTTTATCTCCGTCTGAACTTATCGCGCTTAATTCGTCTATCGCCTTACCCGACCCGGGTTGTCCACTATTTCTTCTCACCTTAATCCGAACATCTACAAGTTGTAAGATTTTGCCAATCTTAAAACGGAGGGTCAACGGTTGGGTGTGGTGCGTCTAAGTCGCCATCATTAGTGACGGGTT